GACGAACCTTAATTAATTTGAGATAATCTGGTGTTTCCCTGTTGGCTTTTATTTCCTTAGGAGTCCTTGGCTTGTCCCCATAAGACTGTGAGTGTGTTCCAGAGTGCTTAGCACAATTCAGAGTCAGAAAATGGAAGATGCACTTAAGTTGGATTACTGATTTGACCCCCAAATTTGACATGCTGCCCCTTGGTTCATCTCTGATGAGCTTGATTTTATCCCCTTCCCACTTCAAACCTAGATTAAAACCCTCTCAACCAGGCCTGACAACTCCCAGGATAAAATAGTTTTACCTATTTTGGACAGGTGAACTCCATCTGGTTCCAGCATTCCTGGTACTGTACAAACCCACTGAGAGCAAATGCCCTTTCGAAGGCTACTTTAACTCTTCTTTGTGTTGCCAATCAACATTAAGATAATTTTTCATTAAAGGTTTGAAAAATTCAGAAATATACAAGTAGGATGGATCCACATTTGAAAAAAAAGAAAGAGTGAATTTAATAGCAGAGCTGCAGATAAAACTTTAGAGGTCAAAAATACACAGAAGAACAATAAACACCACAGTGACACAGGAAACAGTATAATGAACAGAATAAACATTGTACTAGCAGTTGAAAAGTAGTAAACACTGCTGAGATATTAATCAAGAGGGAATGTGGTTTATAGCTGGATTTGCCTTGAGACAGAGTAAGTTATAAACCCATTTGTATAATATATTTTTGTTTCTAATATTTTCACAGCCACTGAAATGAATATTTAATAAAATAATTAAAGACTTACCCTTTTTGATGTGATAAGAAACTAAGAAACAAAGTCCCATCACTAATAGTTCATCTTTGTGGGAATACTTATCATTATTTTGACACAAAGCCTGAATTATTATTGAAAGCAAATAGAGAAACAAGGTCTCAAAGCTCTTGGATTTTTCTTTTATTGCTGTCATTGTCACTGCATACTCTGTGGCAACGTAACAGTGGATAAATTAAGGCTCACAGAATCAGATAATCTCTAATGTTCCTTATGACAACATCTTTTACTTTATGAAGATATGTAAAGGATACATTTAATTTCCTGTAGTTCTTATACATAGACTTCAGATTCTTTGATGCCCTAGACTTGGAGGGGATTTAACTGGCTAAAAAACTAGATGCTTTGATTCTGTACTTCCTTTTCTAGTCCTTATCAGTCATTTACAGAAGCTTTTCCCCAAGGACTTGTCTTTACTTAGGGAGACATGCACACCCCAATGACGAAAAAAAAAAAAGAAGAAGAAAACCAAGAAAAAAAACCAAAACCTGATTCCAAACAGCAAAACAGGACTTATTACCTCTTACAGAATTCAGGGACAGGAAGTCTCTGAAACAATGCTTAAATAATACTGACCCTCAGCAACACATACACAACTGGCTGTATTTAAAGAGCTGCAGGAAATGAATCAGAATCTAACTAAAGCCAGGCATTTCCAAAGGCCAGAGAATGGAAAGTCTTTCCATAGTGGAAGTTATCACTATGAAGGTCGGGTAGCAGAGCACTCTGTAAACTGGCCTTCATCCTTTTACTTTAGGAACCACCTAAATTATTTTTAAGCCACCTAGAGATGCCACAAAATCCTTTGTAGAACGAATGGTCTAAATATATTACAGAAATGAAGCTGGGTCATCTTGGTGTGAGATGAAAGTTATGCAGATTTTACATAGCAAATGAAGAAGGAAGCAGCAGAAAATTAATGCCACTTAGAGCCAAGAAAATACTGTTTAAATAAGCAATCTAGATTCTGCATATGTACTTCATAAATGACACAGATGGACACTTAACCTCCAGTCTAGAGGTTTAGCCTTCAAAACACAGGACATAACTTTCATCGGAGCTTATCCTCCCTTTCCTAACTGGGCAGTAAAGATGCCAAAAAGATAATTCCATGTTTGTGATTTTTGTTCACAGCTCCTTAAAAACCTCTAAAGTTAGTGGAAGAAATAGCCAGTATTTGAGACAAGAAGGAGTCTTTTCTCTCTTTAATTTCAGAGGAAGTCACCTTAAATTCATGGTTGTTTGTATTACAAAAATAAACATGCCAGTACACATTTGGAACTCCATATGACTATTTTCTTCCCAACAAGACAGTATATTCAACAAAGTATAATACTTGACAGTCATTAGCAAGCAGAGAAGTCCATTTTTCTTTATCAGTAATATCCTTTCACCTCATTATAAAACAAGAGTTACCATACCAAAATTGAAGACTTGTCAACAGAGTGGGGGAAATAATTTTTAATTACTGTGTGGATAAAGCTTCAGGATCATGAGAAATGGGAAAGTGTGATAATTGAAAGAATTACAGGCAATTCTTGAATTAAATTTTGTATTTTTAGTTGTTAGTTTTCTGTATGGTTCTATATAAAGTACAATCAAAAAATGCATTGGTTAGTTGGTGCACCGGATAGATTCTTCTGGAGTATTACCATGTATGTTCCAACCCTAAAACAAGCCCTGTATTAAGTGCTCTTAGATTCTGGACTTCAGCAAAGATATAAGGATCAGCCAGCAGCAAAAGTGATTAAACAGAAAAGAGATACTCAATTTTGGTTAAAAGTCAAACTAATAATAATAATAATAATAAACTATTGCCTTTTAATACATAGTTTGAATATTGGAACTGTAGTTTCTGTGCTTACACAGGTCCTTAGGTGATCTGCTAAGATACACAATAGAATAAAATAAGTGTTAATATCAGGTGCAGTTATAGAAGAGGAAAAGCAGTTAATAGATAATTGATTTTAATTTTTTTTCTTTTGACAAAAGATTGTTTACTGAATGTCATTCTTCCTTTTGTCTTTTAGGGAAAAATGATTCAACATTCCTAGAGTACTTACTAATTGAAGAAATTAAAATTAGTAATTAACAATAGTGTACTTAAAGCAACAGAAGTATAAAATTGTCATTAATCAGTATCAACATCCACATTTTATTATGTTTCATTAGTACTTTATCTTAGCTCACTGTTCCTTCTTCAGAGAAGTCTAGAGCATAAACTAAATGGGCCACATTAATATGCAATTTCCACCTGAGACAGTGCAACTGCAGTATAGATAGCCATGGCTGGGTGCATTTTTACTAGTAGCTGCTGGGCATAATTTAATCCTTTTAAATAATTTTATAGATATAACCTTTTACTCAAGTGCCCACTCTGTTACATTAATTATTAGTAAGTGAAAATATAATTTAAACATAGGTCAATAATCTATGATACATTTTTTTAATATTTCTTTCTTAAGGAGCCCTATGTAATAACAATAACAAGATTTTTACAATATTTTTGTGTGTGGCTTAGCAATAACCATTACAATGTGAATGAAGAACAAATATTAAGTGGGATTTATGGAGAAAAATCAAATTGGTTCTCCAAGTCCTGAATTTTCATAGAAGCCTCAGACCTATGCATATAATGAGATTATACATTAAGTAAAAATGGTATATCAAAGTTCTCAAAACTTTAACAACAGACTATTTGAACATTTGAATTAACATGTTTCTAAAATTCAGATTTTGCAGTGATGAGATATCCCAGCTGCACATTGAATACAGAAACACAGTCTTCCTCCAGATAAAAAGCTCTTACTGTATTGAAGGCTGTGCCCACACTTCTGTAATCATTTTCACCTGCTTGTATTCAGGAGCCTGGACCTTTAAACTCAACAAAGCCAAGCAACTGGAGCCCTGTGGTGATTATTTTTAGGCTTTGTGCTGTTTGTTGCATTTTCCCTTTTATTAGTTGTAAGACACTTATAGCTTTTGACTTCTCTGTTTATTAGTTTTGTTTTCATTTCTTAGTTCAGGAGATATGACAGTCTTTCTTATGAGTTCAAAACATTTTACTTCATTTCTTAGAGCACAGAAGACTTGAGGAAAAGCAAAGAACAGTATTTTCAAACGTAGCCTGTAAGTTTGCATACTGAGTTAAGAAAATATCTAAACAGAGGCATCTTATACCTGCTTTTTTTTGTAGGTGTTTATCCAATTCAGCCTAAGGTTATTAGGAACATGTAGGTAGTTTATATATCTGAACAGAAATGCCATCTGAATGCCATATGAAAAATTAGAGAGACTTCAAGAAAACATTCTACCATTTTATTTTAAGAGGTTCCCATACTTTTACTAATTTGAAATCAGTATATATATTTCATCTAATTAGTATTTCATGTCAAAAACATGAGAGTGATCAGAACCCAGGTCTCTTCCAAGGGAAAAATACTCATCCATGAGAAGAGGGAATGAAATCTAGGTCTTCTACTTCCCAGCCTCCAGCCACCAAGATCTTAAAAATGAGGCATTACTGCCTTCTTTTCTGTGCATATATTAAGAGAATCAGATGTATAAAAGCAAGTCAGGCTAAGTCAAACTGTAAGAAAACTTATGGAATAAAATCCTTTTGGGACCTTAGTCAGAGAGAAGCATTGATTTCTACATCTGAGTCGGGCTTGCATGAATAAAATCATTATGATTCAAAACTACCTAAATATGCAGATGTGAAACTGGCATCCAGGTTCTGATTTTAGGATCCTAACAATAACTTCTATCACACTTTTCCATTAGCTGAGCAGGGCTTTGGAGGATCGTGACTTAGTCACTTACCTGTCAGTCCTGCTTGTGTCCTTGTTTCTTTGAGATTCTTAGGCTTAGAGCAGAAACAGTCAAAGGTTCTGCTAAAATGAGACATGCTCACTAAAGAGTCACTAAAAAATCTAGGAAAATACATTCTAAAGATTATTTAATGCAACTGATCATTAGAAAACCTAAGTAGGAAATTTCAGCTATTTTGCAGATATAGAGAAGTTTACAGAAAGGATAATTAAAAGTCTTCTTTGGTAGGCATATTCCTTCGTGCTTGTTCTGGACATTATAAGAGGAAAATAGCTTCCCAGCTGCCAGGCCTGCTGTGCTTGTCTTTAGGTACAGAATAGTCTTTCTCTGCTGTTGGAGAAAATATACTGCTTGGAAATGTGGATATATGGATGGATGATGGGAGTTAAAAGAAGAGTCAATAAAAAATATGAAATCACTAATTCAGAATGTTTAGTGAAAGTAAATCCTCTGGCTGAAAATATGCTGCTTGAGTGTTTCAGAGCCAAAATTGAGATTCAGTAAGAAGCAGATAGGAGCCCAGAAGCTTTGCCTCTGGTAATTACATGAACCAATTTGTCAATATGTGTATATTCCTTAATTTGTATTTGCATCTATTAAATGCATCTGTTGAAATAAATCATATTTCATCTTCCAGTTATCTCTTTTATCCTTTTGTAACTAATTCTGTTTTCTCTTTAAGGTGAGATTTATAGCTGTGCAGGTGACTCAGTATCTTCATTCTTGGTGAGTCACCATTCCCATGTCTCATTCACTTGATTGTTTTCTTTCTATGATCACATTTGTAAGGTACTTTAAAAATCGTAACTACTCTTTACAACACTCCTTCAAAAGAGATAAAATTACAGAGAAAGAGATGGATTCATAATAATTGTTTCAAAGCCAAGAGGAGAACTCATGCACGTCTGGCTCCTGGACTCAAACAGCACCATCGGCTGAATGAAAATTTGACTTCAAAACAAATTATAAAATAAATAAATACCTGCTTCATGTCCATGAGAAGAACACAGTCATAGGATAGGATGCTGAAAGGTTTGCAATGATGGCAAGGTGCTAAGTAAAATGAGTCATCTTTTCAGCAATACAAGCACCATTCACTGTCCTACCTTTAGATAAGGGCTACAATGCTTCCTGATTTGAACAAATGTTTGCATAATTTAGTTGTGTGGCACAAAGGTGTTGGTGTCTCTTTACTTCTGTCAGGGAAGTTGCTCAAGTGCTGACCTGCTAGATAAATCCTTGCTGATAAGAGAGTGGAAGAGAAAACCCTTTTCTCTGATATGCTGATATGCTAAAAAAACAGTGTTGTTTGGGTGTCATTGTGTAATACCTATTTTGTTGAGTTTCAATCTTAAAACTGTGGTCAGGGAGGTAAATAATGTAGCTTCAAGCATGAATATGAGGAAATATTCTGAGTATTGTTCTAAAATACCTGGTAAAATTGCTCTGGTCTCCAATGATGACTTGTTAAAAGTAAATTTCATCTTAGGATCTTCTGAATTCTGAAGACAGCTTTGGGCTGTATAAAGCAGGAAGTTGGGCTCTCATCTATATGGAACCAGTCTGGTCTGTATGTAGTACTAGATATTTGGGGGCAATACTATCATCTGTTGTGAATAAGAAGATGTATGCCTAATCAAAAGTGGGCAAAGGTAAAAGATTCCCAGATGTGCAGTCACAAGCTTGATTTAATCATGTGACTCTGGGCATTCCTTTTATAATCTCACCAGACTTGAAAAATAGTATCACTTGCACAGGCTTGAGATTTTTACCTGGCCATGAGGGATTTACATAATATGGTATGTTTTTTCAGTGTATTTTTGGGAGTTTACAAATGATACACATACCAATGTTATGTTCAAAACCTTTGCATCTATGTAAGCAGTGGTTCCTTAGGGAGAGATTACTGGTTGCTAGGCTTGAAAGATGAAATTCCTTTGTTTTCTGTAGAAGAAAACCTAAGTCTCTAAGGACATGATCTCTATGCGATGGGAAATTAAAATTTGTGTTTACTCTGACTAGTCTGACTTACCTTCCACTGATGGAGTTCAGGAGATACCACCTTGCCACGTAACTCTCTGTTACCCTGAATCTCACGCTCTGTTTTAAAGACACCAGTTTAGTAAAAGAAGTATCTACCAAGTACTGCTCATAATTTTTCTATTTTAACTCCACCTCAAGGTTGAATGCCAGCCCATATTGATATGTGTATTAATATTCTAGAAAAAAACCAGATGTAGTCTGTGTAAAGGACAGCCTTCATTCATGACCTTTATTACCCTTGATAAAGGCCATCGAGGATATCCTTTATCAGATAATCCTTGAGATTTGCATATATAGCAAGTAAAAAAAGAAGTGCAGTATTTGACGCAAGATATTTGTGTGTATTTTTGGGCACTAGAAAAGAAATATAAGAAATTAGATATACAATATCTCTCCAAATTATCAAATGCATCCTAACCAATCAAATTTTAACTTTTTTACTATTGTTGTTTTATTAGAGTATTTTCTCAAACAGTTTAGTATTGTGAAAGGCTATTTGTTTAAAATTGTCACTGTTCACACAGATAGATACCATGTTTTTGCCTGTGGACTAAATAAGCATTCAGCAAACTTTTGGTAATACTTTTATTCCAAATGAAACAAATTTTAAAAATCTTTTCCCAGTATATTACCTAAACCTTCTTTGATTCTTGATTCTGCTTCATGGCATTTTGTCAAGTCTTGCCACTGGTCAGGACACTGAAGAGATCAGTGCGTGCCCCTCCGCTTCCCATCACAAGGAAGCTGTAACTGCAGTGAGGTCTCTCCACAGTCCCCCCTGTCCCTCCTTCTCCAGGCTGAACAGACCAAGTGACCTCAGCCGCTCCTCACAAGCTTATTAGGGCACGATGACAGAATTCATAAAGTTTTGCCTATGAAGCAATATTTCCCTCACATTCTACCTTGTGAATATTTAACTCCAGGGTAACTATATCTTGACTTCTCAGATCAGACTCTGCTTTACTGGGTTTATATAGTGACTCTTCATTAATGGTCTGCATGAAAAACTAGGGTGTGATGTTTTTTTAAAAAGAGAAATCATTATTGCTCTATAAGAGAATGGTCTGTAAACAGATTTGTCCTTTTGCACCTGTGCAATTTTTCAAATATGTTTTATTGACTCAGTTATGTAAACTTCTCTGTTGCTCTCCACTTTTGTAGATCAATCTTTGACTTATAATGACCTATTTATTTATCTACATAAAAGCATACAGAATAAATATTCCTAAACAACATAAGTTTTACTTATGTTACTATTTTATTGTAAATCTGTAAGCATTTTATATAGAAACTAAAATTCTTTATGGAGTTCAAGAAAATTCTTTAGGACTTTATCTTAAAAGAGATTTCCATTTTAGTAGTGCACTTCTATAAATAGTTATTTCTAATAAGGCAATATCTACTGCAATATTTACAACAGATTTACTGGCATAGCCAGCCTATCCGCAGTCATAGATATATGAATGTTTCTTCCAGGAGACTATGGTTTGTTAGCCAAGTATAAGCAGCTTTTAGAAGATTTTAGCTGCATATTGGTATTTAATATTCATCAAGTTACTGAAAATTTTAGTCAGCTTTTTTTTCCCCTTTTCATGCACTTTGAATAGCATTTTCATGATCAAAGTTTCACCACTGAGAAGTTAGGAGGACAATTTGGGTTTTTGTCTCTCAGTAAGGAAAACCCATGAAATATAATTATCTGGGTTTGCATAATAGTAGGTGCAGTTGCTTACATTAATATGAAAGGAATGTATCTTTTCATGCTCTTAAAAACAGTGAAAACAGATTTATCTAGTTCAAATATCTGAAAACTTCATATTAAATTAAAATCAGTGTTTTGAAGAAATACAAGACACATCCTTAGCTTTCCATTAATAAATATATTAATTACTGTTAAAAAGATTCAAAAGTTTCAGAAGTTTGGTAATACTCAAGCATCAACTAAATCATCTTGCAATTCCTTTCTAGCACACTTTTATACCAATTAAAGCCAAACATATCTGATGACCTGTATCCAAATGTTTATGTGATCTGTACATACAGTGGACATGTGGTTTTCTTACTATCACCTACATAATTGGTTTGATTTGTCCAAAAAGCAAGGGAGACACTTGCAATGATAAATAATTGGATTTATTTATTTGCAGTGGGCCATATAGCCCCTGAAGAGTTGTAAAGTCATTTGGTTGAAACTCTCACTCAAAACAGGGCCACATTAAATTAGGTAAACTATGGCATTGCCAAGTGAATCTGAATAACCTCCACAGTCTCTCTGGGCAGAGAAAATGTGGTGAGCCCAGGGAAGTGCCATCAAGATGGTCAGGGCCTAGAGAATTTGTTCTCTCAGGAGTGGGAGAGAGCTTTGTCTGTTGGTGGAGAAGGGCAGTCCAAGAAGCACTCTACAACCACTTGAAGGGAGTTACAAACACAATATCAGATACCTCTTAGTAGGGGCAGGTGGTGAAAGACTAGACAGCACCCTCAAGGAGATTCAATTTAGGAAATTGGTTGGTCATTAGGAAGCTGATGAAGAAAATTACTCAAAAAATATTGAAAATTTAATTGCATTAGTTTAATAGTACATTTTTAATTGTTTCAGGTTTTATTTATTCCTCTGGTCTTAACATTTTATGCTGTTTCTCTGCAATGAAATTAATTTCTGTTACTTTTTTTTTTTTTAATTCAAATTAACTTTGTGATGGAGAGCTTGAATCCTCAAAGCATAATGAATATATCTGAATGCATTTATAGATGATGAAAAATAATAAAAGTCATCTTCAAATTATCTTCAAATTTTAAATCCAGTTTCAATTAATATAAATCATGTTTCCTCCATAAAATATTTCTTTGAAAGTAGGTTAAGAATTATCCTGGAGATTGGAGTGAGTCAACACCATTTGCATTTGCAATACCATTTTTATGTAGTGACTCTTCAGGTTATTGCTATATGGAGAGTTATAGAACTCCCTGAGCAACACTGTTCCCATCTCTGGTGAATAGTAATTAACCTTCAGGTTATGAACTCATACAAAATATGCTAAGGTTATTATCCAAATAAAGTACCAAAGCACAATAAAGTTTCAAGGAGAAGGATCCAAGTTTTTTACTGTGGACAAAAAATATAATTTGTTCCTTTTTCAAAGCTTCTTCTGTATTGTAACCTGGTTTAGACTGCAGCAGTGTGTTTGTTTATATATAGTGTGTGAATTAATGTTTGAAAAAAGCAGGAATGTGAGGATAAGGTTTTTGCGGGTATTCTGTACTGGATTCACCTCTGTGCTGTTAAACTGATTAATTCTTTCACAAAGGAGAATGATAATAACTCCCTTTTTATGTATGCAGGGAAAAATGAATGCATCCATAGCACTTACATGTATGAGGTGGGACCAGAATGTGCACAGACACCTGTGAAGTTTTTTCCCTACAGTGTGACCTCTGACTTGTTAACCAGTGGTGCCATTCCAACTCTGCTTTCCTTCTGTGCTGTTCTGTCCTTGGTGTGCAATGCCAGCTCCACGGGCACTATGTGTCTGCAACAAATCATCACAAAACTGTGCAGCACAGAAGTTTTTGATTGTGACAAATGCCTTTAAACTTCTGCTTAAACTTCCTTGTGAAGTATGAACTTCTAACATTAAATATGTCCTGGTGATAAGAGAAGTTTATAGACTTACATTAGCAAT